AGGGAGTGGAGTCTTCCTGAGCTTGAAGATTTAATGACAATTCTTGTCATGGTTCACTAGCAATAAGCCAACTCCTTCCATCCCAAAACTTCTCCGTCCTCTTTTCTTTGCTTGGTGATTTGGGGATAAAGTAATATCTTCATTAGCAAGGAGAAAGCCTGAAAATTGCTGAGATGGGATTCTTCTGGAGTAGAATCCCAACCAAGTTCTTCTAGTAAATCCACACTGATGCTTGGGAAACAACCACCTCCAGGGCTCTGGGAAGTGGTCTCACCAGGGGAGGGAGATTTGCATTAAAAAAAAAAAAAAAAAGACAGGGGAGCTGTGAAGCTGGCTGCGGAAACACACAGCCATGGGAGAATGTGTTAAACCCAGTCCCACCGCAGAACAGGCTTCGAAGTAGTAATGTGGTTTCTTTTCTTTTCTTTCTGTTTGTTTTATTGAAGTATAGTCAGTTTACAATGTTATGTTTATTTCTGGTGTAGCAGTGATTCTGTTGTGTGTGTATATATATATATCAGATTCCTTTTCATTATAGGCTGTAACAAATTATTGAATTTAGTTCCCTGGGCTACACAGTAGGCTTCTTCATCAAGCCTTCCCAATTAGTTGACATTCACCAAATTAAGGAGGCACTGTACAAGGAGAGAGGAGAAGTCTGTGCCTCCAGGCTCGTCTGCCATCTCCTCTTACAGCTTCTTAGCCAAGCAAATGGCACCAGCATGTCGTAACATGAGCCACTTTCCAGAACCCGTGTTGGGGTCTCTTCAGCAATTTTCCTGAGCTGCCTTTTAAGCCACGTGATCCACCCCAACACTCGTGAAAATCCCTGGGGAATGGTTGGAACAGGATGATAGCCTCTTCACCTGGATCTAACGGAGCCAAGTGGTTGATTGGGAGCTCAGATGTTTGCTCAGGTTTGAAATTCTAGTTGGAAGCCCTTGAGTTTGTCAGACCACCAGGAAATATTCCAAGGCCAGACATCAAAGTGAAACTCTCTAAACTTTCTTCTTGACTGTGGGCCAGAGATATGGCAGGAACAGCCAGCTGTGCCTTGAGAATTTAGAGTTTCTTCTGTCAGACCTGACTCGGTTCTCAGCAGAAATGAAAGCGAGAGAGAAGTATTGAGATACTTAAATAAAAATACCTTTCCATAATGATGTTTTTGCATGTGTATAACATAATTATTGTCACTGTAAAAGGCACTTTCATTTCTTAATTGATACTCTAGGTAACCTTGTGATGGAAACAATGCAGTTTTGTTGGGTTTTACTTTACAGGTGAGAACACGGACTGAATGGCTCTGTTCAGAGATAGAATTACTCCACTCCTCAAGCGCAAATAGCTTAAAGAGTTGTAACTGTAAATGAGGTGGGTTTTTATTTTTGCCTTCAATCCTGCTGTTTCTTCCTTTTTAAATACTACTTTAACATAAATTTTGTACTAGACTGACAAATGAGGATCAGGAGAGAATATGTCTCTAAGTGTCTTAATTTTTAGGAACAATTCTGAAAATGCCTTATTAGATTTTCAAACCAAAAGATACTCTGAAAGAGATTATTTGGTCATATCTCTTCCACCCCCCAATTGCTAGGGTCTTTAAATCATTCCGGACAGCTATGAAAATCTCCTATTTTAAAATACCCAAGAGAAGGAGATTCCTCAACCCTTGTGGGTAACTTTTCCTGATGTTTAACATTTCTCAAAGTCAGGAAATTCTTTCTTGTGTTCTAAATCCCTAATGCTGTAGCTTGAACCTGTTTCCTCCCGGTTGGTCTTCAGTGGAGATGCTGAACAGCTGGCCGTGCTCCTTGGCGTGAGAGATTGTTCCAGAGAGAAGGAGGAGGCTGTTAAAGCGACCCTCAGCCTTGTCTTCTGCAGGCTCAGTAATCCCTGCTCCTTTCACTACTCCTCATAGGTCTCATTTTCCAGTCCTTTAATCGACCCTCTGCCTTCTCCCACGTAACTCAGAGTTTCTGTTGCAACATTGAGCTGGGGCACTGGTGAGCCTTTGTTCTTGGGCTGGGGGTTCTGCAGAGGGAAAGAACCAGCAAACCTCACTGGGACTGGCCGGCACCTAGTCCCCACCATGAGCACTGACGGTGGTGTCTCGGGCCCTGCCACTCAGAAATCCAACACTGTCAAAGAACTGAATGGACAATTAGTGAATTAAATGCTGGGAAAGGGAGGGGGCAGTGATAGCTCAGTGGTAGAGCACATGCTTAACATGCACAGGGTCCTGGGTTCTATCCCCATTACCTCCCTTTAAGAAAAGGGAAAAATCTTTTTTAAAATGCTGAAATACCCTTTGAATAACAATAGGATATTTGGCAAAAGCCTTCTTGAATATCTGTATTTGTTTCCATTATAAGCTGTTCTTTGGGCTGAGAAAATCTCTAAAACTATCTCAAAAGCTGTCTGAAAATGACTCACTGAAGAATTTTTCTGGGGTGGAAAGGTCCAGAATACCATTAGTTATTTAACATTTCACACGCTTCCCACATCCTTCCTATAATACAAAATGAACCCACTAAGGCACAGGCTTTATATAATTCAATGATTTTACTCCTGCATTTTATATTTAGCCATTGACTTAGCAAGTAATTATTATAAAATCCACGTGGCGAATAGGACCAAGACGTCAAGCAGCTCTATAGAAAAGAGTAAAAACTAAGGGATAACTTTGAACTTGAGACCATTTCATATTCTTGCTGAATTCCTTGAGAAATAGCTACAGGTGTTCCTTGAACGAGGTCAGAGTGTCCTACAAAGGATGTGGTGTTGGGAATGAATCCTTTTAAGGGTAGTTCCTAAGCACTCTGTACATCCGTTAGCCATTCTAGGCTTGGCTGGATAGGTAGCAGGTCTAAGGTCTTAAGCTAGGCATTGAGCAGACTCTTAGTAACTATAGATGGGGATCCAATTGGCACCTGCCAGTAAACGAAAGCCTGAAGACCATTGGCAGTGCATTTGGGAAGAGATAACTAAAGAAAAGCAAATGAACTGCAGAAGGTCAAAGACTGTAACTGACTGGTCCCAGCTGGCCTTGTTAGTTGGTGGTAATTTTCACCAAAATACTCCCTCAACCCCAACACTTTGAATTTAGTTATTTAGCCAAATATGTTCACTAAAATCTTTTTGAAAAAGGGAAATAACATGTCCATACAGAAGTTTTATTTTTGTAATGAAAGGTGATTGATAAGGAAGACAAAAAGAGGTTAAAAAAAATCTGTTCACAAGACCTATTCACAAGGTCACCCAAGTGACCTTTCTCTGGGCAGGAAACAATTACCTACTTTGTTTATCTCCATCATTAGGGGCAAATGACCCTCTTAAAACAGTGACATCTCATTTCCACTGGCTCTTTGGTTCCTCCCAAGGGAGTTTATTTAATAGAAGTAAAACCCTAGGGTTGCTATTAACAACCTGACATCTGTTCCCCCGCACCCCTGTCCAAGACCAACTGTGGGCAACCAGACTGTGAGAGCTGGACCTCGCCAATTTTTCCAGACTTCAATTGCTTTATAGTTGCTGCCGGGGCCCTGGCTATACCATGTACTGAACAGAAAGCAAGGCACTTCCCAACACAGAGTTGAAAATGGTGCTACATACAGACATGCCTCCACCCCCACCATAGAGAACAAGATTAAGGACAAAATGTTTGCACAGACACACTAGCACAGCCCATGCTGCCCTGTGAACTTCTGCAAAGATTCCCAACTCTGGCTAAACACTGGATGACCTGGAGATTTACAAAAATTATCTATGCCCTGACCACATCCCCCAGAAAGGGTGGTGGAGAGTTCCCTGCAGCCAAGCTTGAGAACCACTCCCGGGACAGTCATTGTCAAGGAGACTGCACAGGCAGCTCCCGAATATGGGGGTGGAGGGATGGAAGGCCTTTAAGCATTGGAATATCTCAAGACGTAACTAGATTATATGAATCTTTAAGTAGAAAAAAATCAGCCATAAGCCAGAGAGAAATGTCTCCATCATGTTGATATTCCCAGTGCCCAAGGCACTATCTAGCATGTGGAAGACAGTTTAATTC